TGACGTGAATTCACGTCAGCGATCGCAAATCCGTTAATGTCAATAAAATAACTCTTTTGGCGTATATTTCAAATAGAACACATGAAACATATAATTCTTAACAGACTCGAAATAGATCACACCAAATTAACAAGTTCACACATAATTTTCAAACCTGATCTTCGAGCCTGCAATTCCTGTAACGCCGTAATAACAGTGAAACGTATGCCCTTAAGACTGTCCTAGATACCTGGAATTCCTTATTAAGATCCAAATTAAACCTATCTAATGCGAAGACTTGACATTCTCATTCGTCAAATACTTAACATTACATAACAAGATTCAACTACTACGCAGTTATCGTTAATAACTAGACTGTGGATGTTTATGCAAATTTATATTTTTACAAATACAGATTAAGGATTGCGATTTAAATTAAAGTATACCTTAGTTACTAAACAATATAACATGTATTTTATTGTTGATATTTTATATATTTTTGCTATTATGCACATTCTCATACATTTTCATATTTTTACGTATTTAATAATTTAATCAAATTCATCAAGACCTGCTGAGTAATAATGCAGTTTAAATAGAAATCATTTCATACTTTTCACTGCATTTTCTCATACTTTTAAGCAATTATATCTAGAGCTAGTGAGTATTCATAGAAATTAACTAGAAATTATTTCATACATTTTAGTGCAGTTTTAATGTTCTTCGAAGTCGATTATAATTTTATTTCTAAAAATTAATTTATGTCACACTTTTTAGTGGCAATCTATAACCAATAGGCTTCATGCAATAACAACAGTTATGAACAATATGTATTTTATTGCAAACGGGATCATCAGAAATACATGTGTAACTAAATGTGAAAGGATTCATCGCGATTGGTAAATTCCTTGCCGAGTTACATGAAAGAATAGTAATTTTTCAATGACAATAGTTATAAACAATAAAAAAGATTCATACATTTTTTTGCAAATGTGATCATCGCGAAAACCTGCCCGGCAGCAAAATGTAAGAGGTATTATCGATTTCATCGATTTTAGGCCGAACATACGTGAAATAGTACTCTTTTTGCGATAAAAAGTAGTATAAAGTGGTAAAAAATAAAACAAGGTTAAATATTTTTGTATGAGTTCAAATGGCAGCGATGCTTTACCAGATACAAGATGTTTCAATCGAATTCGTCAACCCGTTTCGGAGTAAGGAGCAGCACAAAATTTTTCGGATTTTTGCACACAAAAAAATGGAGAAAAAATGAGAAATCGCAATATGTCTTGATAACGGGACCAACTGGCAGACATGCTCTACAAAATGCAAGAGGTTTCATCTCGATTGGTCAAGCTATCTCGGTGTAATCGGGAACATACGTTAAAAAGAAAATATACATGTCGAATTGAGTAACCTTCTCTTTTTCGAAGTCGGTTAAAAATAATAATAAAACAATAATAATAATCAATGAATTCTTCAATAGGATAACGATCAAAAGCATCGAAGTCTCTTTCGTATCAAGTGAAAAGCTAAAAATGGTATCAATGTTGTTAGACCGGCTATTCCAGTTTCCGGACGCTAATCCGATAAAAAACGTTTGATTAATCATGAAATTCAAGCTTCGAGAGAAATGAATTGTAAGACTGAAACATTAATTCGACAAATTCGAGAAATATAAGGTCTTTAATGTATCATATTTAGAAATGTAAACATTGTCAAGTTATCAAATAAATGTGTATTATCTTTTTAACGTCAGATTTACGGAGCATGGTCATTTTTACTCATTTCAAATTACACAAGGCTTTTTAGAAACAGTTTATATTTCTCGTGAACCAGTTATGTCGACTTTTATCCGTTTAACAAGCATATATTCAAATTCATTTTTATTCGAGTTTTTTAATTAATTTTAGTAAATAAACTTCACTTATTGAACCATTCGTTCCTAGTGTTCAACATACTTATGATCTGTATATAAGTTTTTACAAAAAATAAGTTTTTTTTTCAGAAATATCACGTCCACGCTCTTATTGAACAGACTGTACATCTGAAATAAGATACAAAAAACAATGAAAGGTTATTAGAAAGAAACTCGAGAAAAAATTCGGTTAGCAAAGGGTTAATCCTTAATACGGTGACTAGCGGCATAAAATTTTGCTTCTTCCTTGAAGTAGCTTAGCGCGCTGCTTCGAGGTATAGTGCAGCCGTTAGTGCTTGGGCTGCCGCGTAACCTGTTCTCATTTTTATCGTCGTCATCAGGTTTCAGCGCAGGTGAGCTGCGAAGGTGCTGAGCCAACTCCAGCGAACCAGCTCGTAGTTCTCGAGCATTTCCTTCTCCTTCATCGTAGAAACGCATTGACCTTCGAGACAAGATACCTGCGATCAATGCGAACGTTGCTATTCTATCGTTGTCCGACGATATAACCGCGATTATGCATCCACCAACAGCCGCAAACGACTTAAGCTAATTGCAAGAACAAGCATTTTACCCCCTTTGAAACTTAAAACCATGCTTAGGGGACGCCCTCCTCCTGTCAGCCCACACTAACCAAACGATGTCTGAAATATACGGCGCACTGAATATTCTTGCCCAGTACATTTCCTTAAACGTACTTAAGCGTCGTGATTTTAACTCTTCACAGCAAATTGTAAGAAATTAGATACATCTATACTAATATATAACAATCTATAATCTATCTATAGATCTATATATATATGTCGTAGGGAAATGATAAAAATAGAGATTTGATCAAATCCCTTAACTGTTTTAGTGAAAAGATGAAATAATATGATTTGATCAAATCCCCTGAAACATAAATGCTATGAGCAGAATAAATTCAGTCAACATCGTGACACGTTCCAAGCATTCCTTTTAGCCTTTTCCTGGTCGCTTTTGACTGGCTGTCGACTAGTTGATACCATTTTCATTCAAGCAAACGCTTCGTAAAATTGAAAAGTATTTTCATAATATGATTAGTGTGAATGTATGTTCAAAAGTAGAATTTAAGCATGGAAAGAATGAGAATTCCCTCGTACGACCATTTTATTCTTATTTTAGGAAATAAATCTCTATAAATGAGGTTTAGAATTATAGAGATACAGATTTTAAAATAATATTTTTATAAATATTGACTAATATTGTACCCAAGGAACCAACGGATGGGTTGTAGGTGTTCTGAGTTATAAATTCAGTTTCTAGTTTCTAGGACTGTTTTCGGAATTCCGATGGTAGAATGTTATTTATAAGACTATTTATTTATTTATCATATTAATGTAATAAAAAGTATCCTATTTATAAACCTTATATTTCATGCGCAAACAAATTACGATTATTCGTCCCAAAAACTTAAGCAATTAACTACAATCAAGAAGTATAGACCATTCGGTTATGAAAGTCTGAACGTTTAATATCAAAGTGCTAATCGATTCTTTGCTCAATCATACTTTACTTAAAAGTTATGATTTTTTAATCATAACAATACCTTTCACGTGCTTCATTTTCTACATTTGCAATAATCATGTTTTTATTAAACGTGATGCTATGAGCGGAAAGGAAACGAAATGAAACTAAACTTTTAGGGAATTCCGTAACGTTTATACAGGTTGTCCCAAGAATGTTGTAACACCTTGAAAGGGGTGGTTCGGGAGGTGATTTGGAACAACTCTTTCCTTAGCGAAAATGTTATCCGAGGCTTCGTTAAGTAGATATTAACAAAAAACCCCGACCAATCAGAGCGCGCGTATACCGCTGGAGCGCCCGCGGGAGCGAAGGCTACGAGCTAAGCGGCCTCGTCAATGTCCTTCGATGCACGTCGAGTCACTTGTTCGCGTACAAGCGCGGCCGCTTAGCTCGTAGCCTTCGCTCCCGCGGGCGCTCCAGCGGTATACGCGCGCTCTGATTGGTCGGGGTTTTTTGTTAATATCTACTTAACGAAGCCTCGGACAACATTTTCGCTAAGGAAAAAGTTGTTCCAAATCACCTCCCGAACCACCCCTTTCAAGGTGTTACAACATTCTTGGGACACCCTGTAGAGACAATCAAAAAACGTGTCGTGCTGCTTCTCCTCGCTTGGCTGACGAGAGCGGTAGTAAAAGAAACACGGTGACCGTTATAGTTTAGTACAAAACCGTATTTATATTTTGAAGCTATATGACTTCCGATTAAGACCGCGTATTTCTAACGTAATCTCAAACATATGTACTTAAATAAGTTACTCTTAAAATGTTTCATTCTAAACTCAATTCGGAAGCTTTGTTGAGTATACATGAAATTTTTCAGATTTAAAAAAAAACTTTCACACAATAAAAAAACAAGGGTTAATATAACTTTATCGAGATAAAATTTGTTCAATCGCAGGAAAGGTGAGCCGTCCATAAAGGGTATAATAAGATAAAAGATCCATTCGATTCACAATTTTTTAAAGGTGGCGCAATCTACAAGCGCCGTCAGACACAATTTTCTCAATTATACAGTGTGTCCCAAAAATATTGGAGTTCTTTGAAAGGGGTGGTTCGAGGAGTGATTTGAAACAACTTTTTTCTTAGCGAAAATGTTGTCCGAGGCTTCGTTGTTTCAAATCACCTCCCGAACCAAGGAACTCTAATATTTTTGGGACACCCTGTATAGACTATACACTCAAATGACTATACATACCAACGTGCACACATACGCTCATTTAATATATATATATATATATATATATATATATATATATATATATATATTGTTAATAGTCAAGACATCATCAGGATAGTAAAAATCACCTTTGTAGAGGCAGCTGAACATATGCTTCTTCAATTTAATATTATTAATACATATAATACACCTTACGCATTAGCATTATAAAACTAAATTAATATTGAAAATAATTGCCATTTCAGGAGGAGGAACAAGTTGAAACAAAGAAGTAATTTGACTGAATGTGATGAAATAAGAGAAATTGATTGTTCCTGACCTTTTGTTTAAAGGAATGATTTAAGGACACAATTGGGTCGGATGCAAGTCAATTCACAGGAGACGATTTGCTGTCATTTCTATAGCAATTTTATTAACATTGTTATTTCGATAGCATTAATTACAGATACCAATTTGCAATGTAGAGTACTAAAAAAAAAAGAAAAAAAAAACAAATAAAAAAGGGGTATTTAAAAAACAAGACCATAAGATGAGCATATAGTGAATTTTGATTTTTAGAAAAAAATGACAATGAGCGATTGTATTATAATACAATCGTATTTAAATACAATTTCTACAATTACGAACGCGTACGACAATAGGAATCGACATTACCTGCACGAGCTGATTTATTCGACAAATGACACGCGATAATGTAAGGTCTGGTGATAAAAATAAGCTAAATTGGATAATAATGAGCTCAAACCTGTAATATACATAATAATTACACATTGTTTCAACGTCGCAAGATCAATAAAGTACCTCGCAATGTAGTACGCTCAAGTCAAGTGCAATTGGAGTATAAAAACTCTAAAATAACCCTATATCGAATGGCCAGCGATGATTTCGGACTACGCGTTACTACAATGGTTTTTTTTAAATAAGAAATAACGTCATTTACGCGCTAAATAATCAATTATTTTCGGTGTTTACTCCAGGATGATCGATACAGTCGTCTTTCTTCTCTTTCTTCCTTTTTTTCTATAATTATTGTAATGATCTACGTAATTCTTACTTATCAAAGAGCTACCCAACTAATTTGTTTCGCATTAGTCATTTCGTGATGAGTGCGTAAAGTTGCCAGTCGTTCTATTGAGGAAATAATCGTTTCTTTTAATTATTTCTGTCCTTGTCAAATTTTTGATTCAGAAAATCATATAAAATAAGAATTTGGTATCTTCTATATCTTAGAAATAACAATAGAAGTAGAAAATGATAATATACAGAATATTGAGCCATTAGTCTACCTAATCTACATATACATATATGTTTATAACAATATATCATAGTTCATATATGTATATGGTATATTACCATAAACCACGTATAATGTATATATAAGTATCTATCATTTTCCCCCTGTATTATGTTTAAGAAATAAAAGACAACAATTTCTTAGCATAACCGATTTTGTCGTGACTCAACTATACATACGATACCGAAATGTTCGAACCTTCAACTCCTGACTTCATTCACGTCAATGGTTGATATGTATTATTAAAACAAACTGTTGTGGAACCCTTATTGATAAAGCTTCCGATCGATACAAACTTTTTTGAAAAATAACATAGCAAGTCAATACAACAAAAATATTGAATATACCAAACAGGTGCTTTACACTTTGTCAAATTGCAAAATATAATAAAAAATGCTGATTATGTATAATATGTACCACTCAAAGGTGCACTACTTTCGTGACTGCTACTTTTTTCGAACTTTATTTAAACTTCTATTTTTGTTGTACTAAACTATTTTTCAAAACAATTGATGTTATCGATAAGGATCCTACCACATTTATCCTAAAGGCAGAAACAATTATGAAACTTTTTCAACAGATTTTTCCTGAAACAGTTGAAATGAAACTTTCTGGTTTTAATAAAATTTATAAGAAATAAAAGTAAAAGTTCTCGTGTAATAGAAACAAGATATTTTCTTCGCCGATAGCAGATAGTTTTTTTAAAATATTGTTTTCCAATTTCTGTCTAAAAAGATATTCGTATTTTCACCTGTAAATTGTGCTCCTAGAGTTTAGCTGGGAAGATTGGAAACACCACATTTATAGAAATACGCGTTGGAGAAGTACGGTATGTATAATAAAAATCGAGATTGATTACGTCCCTTTTTCATGCTTAATGCAGTTGGCAACCCTACGCGTGACACTAATGATCGGATTAAGGATGTCGTGATTCGTGATCAATGACACTGATATCTCCTCTCTCCCATCTCTTTGACCCATCTTCTCCCGTAAGTACATTAGATACGACCGAACAGAACACTGAGTACATTACTTCTAATACTTCACTTACACGCTATTATGTACAGTTATGAATACCAGCGCACCATGATTTGCGGTACCGGGAAGATCGCCGGGTACCATTTCAATGGGCGCGATCCAATCATGAAAGACGAAAGTGCTCTTCAGAACCGGTCGATTGCGTTACGCGCATGAGACAGTGTAGGACAGTAAAAAACAGTTTAATAAATGAGCGAGAGAAACAGGGAGAGAGAAAAAGAGAAGGAGAGAGAGAAAATACGTCACAAAATGAGAAAGAAAGTAGAAGAAAGAAGGGGACAGATACGCATCCAAGTATACTGTACAAAAGATATTTTTACCCAGTTTTACGTACGAGGAATCGCTGAACTTTCGTCGAGCAGTAAGCTTTCATTTTACCGCCTTGCCTTCTTTAGTAAATTGGTGAAAACATCCCTCCGATGTTATCCATCGTCTATAAAACTGGACATTTGTCAAACAACAGTATAAATTTTTTTTTTTTGTCCATAAGATACGAAATAGATATTAGTATTGAGATCGATTAACGATCGATTAACAGCGGCTACGCGAAGGCCAATGGAAAAGAAGTTTCGGACTCGTTTCTTATTCGTACCATATTCTATACCATAGAATAATTCTAAATAATTAACACTAAGGGAAAGTGAATACAAAAGATATTTGGTACTTATATACATAATACGTTCTAAAATAAAATGTCAAAACATGATTGCACGAAACAACGAAAGGGATAATACACATGGGAGGCAGTATAAAAATACAAGATAAGATTAATCACAAATACTAATCTCACTGACGAATTCATAGAAATTGTTATTTATTTATCTTTAAAAAAAAAAAAAAGAAAAAAAAAGATTTTAATGAGATTATATTTTATTATTAAATATTTCGTTAACTCTATATTCACTTTCCGTTCATTCATACGACAGCCACAATTATATATAGCAGTGTATTTAAAAGACAATAAGGACGGGATAGAAACGTTCGCAATATTTACTGCAAAATCAAACAAAATTTCTACAGGAATACATACATGAACTAGCGCCGATTCATTCCATTGGCTCCGCACGGTCGTTTCATGTTGTTGCATACATTACACATATACTAATAAAAGAAAGATTATTTAATTGTATTATATTTACATTATCGAGATATAAAAATACTAACAAGAAACATACCTATAGACAAGGTCCTCCAAACGATTCACCCCATTAGAAATAAACTAATTCATAATCAAGTTTGGCAGTAATATTGTCCCTATCTATTTGCATTCTTATTGTTGTTTACAAGATCCTCATTTTATTCACTCTCAGTAAAACGTAGCGTCTTCTAGGACGTTTCAAGCTTACACATTTCCTTAATGCTATCCATTAACTTTTATCTCTATCCTAAATTCTTTGCTACCTTGGAAGATTTCCATTGTTCACTGCACAGGCCTTTGCTGTGGGTTAATATAAAAACAAATGTTTTTGTTATTCGTACAGCTATCATATACACTGGTCACAGTGACAGCGATTCATTTATAAAAACATGCGATTTCACATAACATTTGCTTCACCGCTGAACCTAATTTCTAAAGATGAGCCATAGAAAACACACAATGCAATTCATACATCTCACATTCATTAATAAATCTACTAGTAGCTACTATATATATATATTTTTTTTTTATATAAAAAACAAATTTAAATGCATAATGTCATAATAAGACAAACAACAATTGGGGCTCTTACGAAACTGCTGCACTTTTTTTAATAACAAATAATCATATAAAATTATATCGAAATTTAAATTGTATAGGTTCAGCGAGGAATTTTCGTGCCACACACTCGCTGCAGTCGATTTGCGGACATTTACGGTGGTGGAAAATATTTCAGTGTATGAAAACCTTTCACCTCCCTAATTTTAAGGAGGATAATAATAAAAATAATAATACTCGACATATTTGTCGTAACAACGTTACACAGTTTTAAACTGCAGAAACGGCTTACAACATACACATGCATGCACCAGTGTGTGTGCATGTATAGTAAGAATATTTACTATGCACAGATATATTATTTCATAGTTCCTAGAAATATAGTAAATTTTATAAATGTGTTATACGTGTGTTTATGTGCACAATCTCACTAGCACTGTTACAACTCGAACGTGTGTCGTGCGTATAAATCTGTGATTTCTTTGAAGACATTTGTGTGGAAGAACAGTGGAACTGCAACTTGCGAGACATATGGAATTTGTGTTATTTAGTTATTAACACTTGGTCTCTTCGTCGCTTTTTTAACCGTATCAGAGTATTCGGTAACTTGCTTCAAGTATAGTAACTTCCTCAGCCTTCAACCGATGATGATTTTTTATCTAACTTCTTCGAATAACAGTACTTCCATTCCGATTAGCGAATAACTTCAGAGTAACTTCAGAGTAACTTCACTTATTCATCATATTACACAGTTCACCAACGCTTTTACTTCGCGGCGTATATCGTGTCTTTTGAAACTGTTGTGTATTTGGGAATAAATTAGCTTGCATTAACGTCCTTTCCGAAGACTTCAAATGAATCTCTGCGCGTACGTCTGCATGCGACGGAGTTCTCGAACGTACAACGTGGATGGGACTCTCTCGATTCATGGTAAGTCGAGATAATATACTAGTATCGTACGACAAAATTTTTGAGCTTGCAGCCAATCTACAAGCGCAGGGAGAACACTTTGGCAAATTTATCATAATTTTATCCGGTTCAATCGTCAAAGATGACCGGCCAAATTTTTTTAAAGGACAGCAAATCAATTTTTTATTCTTCATTTTCTTTTCAATAGAATCGTTCCTCCCTTGATCTTTACTTGATTTTTCAAAACTTTTACTTGTAAATTTGTTACTCTTACTACCCCATAGAAATTTTTTCACAGACTCCGTGGATTTCTCGTTAGTAGCTTGTGTTTCGTGTTCTTCGAGTTTTTTACCCTTTGCAATTATTTCTTTAGTTGAAGATTTAGTACAATATTGTTTATTGTTTTTACTACACTGCGATTCCGATGTAGATTCTATGCTATTGTATTTAAATTGATTTAAAGGAGACTTCTTCTCTGCCATATGCTGAGTTTGTATGCTTTTGCAATCCGAAATATCTTTAGTATTATCACTAGAGGTATTCGAAAATGACGAAATTGATTTTTCTGCAATTGTTTGTTGCTGGCAGTCTTCAACCTGTATGTCAACCAAAGTTGTATGGGATACCTGAATGCTAGTTTTCTTATGACTTTGACCAAATGAATTTTTCAAAGTTCTGTGGACGATGTTTTTTTGACTTTTACTAAATGGGTTTTTTAAGTTCTTAGGTAAAGAAATATGTTTCTTTGCAACTTGACCAATATGATTTAAGCGAAAATTGTGACGAACAGGTGTACTCTCTAATATCGTTTTATTATGTTTTTTATCTTGCACATTTGTAGTTACTTCTTTTTGCTTCACATTTTTCTCATCATGTTGAATTGCTTTTCTCGAACTACTGTCTAAACTTGACTCATCATCTTCAGAACATGTGTCCTTTAAAGAATCTTTATGGTGAATTTCCTGGTTACTAACTGTCTGTTGATCAAGGAAGAATACATCAAAAATAGAGGCAAACGATGATTCTTCGTCACAGGGGAGGACAGGTGCCTTCTCCCCTGTGGGAGGCGACTGCTAGACAAGCTTTTCAGTCTGTGAGCTTGTTGAAATGGAGCTAATCGTATTTGAATTATTAGAAGTGGTGCGCCCTTGACTGCTCACATGTGTATGCTCTCCTCCCTGCCCCCCCTGACTCTGGGAGAGGCTCAGTCGCCGTCAGTTTACCAATTCCACGTTTACAAATTGTTTCAGTCGTTCCAAATATTGATCGAATAACTCCACGTTATTGTGGCCAGCACCCTGAAAACATAATACTATTTTCGCAAGATTTCTCTTTTTTTCAAATAGAATTATAAACAAAATTATATACCTCGACCCATAGTGGTTCCACTGCTCTTGGACACCTTTCGTAAATTGCTAAACCATGACTGAAATTTATTACTTCATCTTCAGTTCCATGAATGACCAAGACTGGAGAAGTAACTTTGGGTACTTTATCTATACTGTAAATAAAGAAATTTTCATTAATCTCTTATATCTTGGATGTTGTTACCTTTATGCCAAAACTCTGAAAGTGTTATTTGATATATTCTGGAATTGCTAAATTGTACAATAACCCACATTCATGAATCAAGTTAGAGTATGATCGCCATTGTTACCTAATGTATACATATATTTATCATTTTGGTGCAAAGATAAGCAAAATAGAATCATTAAACAGTATAAAATATACCTTTATATTAAAAAGTGAAGGTTTTTACATTCATGATTTTAGCATAAAGGAGTTAATATATATATAACTTCATTATACTATGGATACATATTATTTATATCTTTATATTAAGGTATAACATAAGTTCTTGTTTATGATATTAAGAACCTCTAATTCCTGATTTAACTGAAAATCAAGCTATCTTAAATAGAATATGGATTAAAGAATACATTAGCACCACTAAATGTTTTATGAATTTCAAATGGGTTGTACAACCAAAGAAGTCATTAAAAATTATCATGGTAAAAAATGGTAGGCTTTTATAAATCAAATATTACATCAGATGGAAATAGATAGTTTACATCAACACAAGTAACAATTTTCAGTGGTTGAACAAAAATGGACAGTCAAAGCCTATATTCAAATCTGGCATATACAAGAAAAAGTTCATGCTATGTAAATCATGGAATGCAGGTGAATTTGATGCGTTTAAACCTGCTGAATTCTAACGAAATAGTAGCTGTAAAAAAACCACAGCCAACAATTAAGCAGAGTGAGCTATACCCTTTACCATTAAGGTATTGATATAATTACTATAAAAGTGACCATTGACAATGTTCAACCACATATTAAAATATTATTAAAAAAAAAAAATGAACAAATGGGGGTGGAAAGTTCTAACTCACATGCCACATAGCCATAAGTTTTCACAATGAGATTATCAATTATTCTGATCAATGCAGTATTCGTTAAATAATACAAAATTCAAAAATTATGATGTGATAAAAATTTGTGTGTTAAAGTATTTGAAACCAACACTGTGAGTTCTTTGAAAGAGATATCCATTTTATGTGTACAAGATAGCAAAAAGTTATCAATGATAATTCTGAATACCTTGTAATATTAAAATATGACAAATCTTATGTTACACCCTAATAAATAATTTACAAATATTTTCATGAATGAATACATTTCTGGTTCACAAATATGTATACTTTATAAATATAAAGAAGATATACATATATAAGGATGCACAAGAAAATAATATTTATAAATTGAAAAGAATGTTTTCCATTTTGTATTTCCTTATTGTTTAGAAAAACGGTTTTTAATTAACAAATATTCGATTATCATTATTTAATATAATTTTATTAAATAAAGCTAAGAGACATTTAATACATTTTTATTAAATAAAGCTGTTCAGGCTACATATATATAGCAGCTGAAGCGTAACACTTATTAGCAAAGTATACGACGGATCGTGCAACTTACAGGTTTCCATGAGACAAGTATTCAGATAAACTTTTATTGCTTCCCATACTTCAATTCAGAGAAACTGAAAATCGCTCGAAGGAAAACTTATGCGCGCATGTCACAATAATATTCGTTACATCTCTCGAAATATTCGTCTCGTTTAAAAGAAATTTGAAATCATGAATTTAAAATATTGAGATCGCGAGTACGTATGGAATCTTAAGGTGGACCCTGGTGAAAACTATTTTTCAAAATTTTTGTCATGCAGCCCCCACAACTTGCACGATTTGGTGAAAAAATGAATTCCTGCAAAAGAACAAATTGGTTAGAGAATAGGAACATGTGCTATAAATTATTTTATTATACAAAGTTTCAGCAACAATGAAAAAGTACACTCAATATCAACTTTGTTTATTGTAATTCTTATTAGTACAAAAAAATTGTTTAATAATTTGTCTACTCTATATTGTTTATAGCATGTTATTAAGGAAAGAAGATTGAAATAATCATTTGCTATTAGTAACAAAAAACACCTATCAGTAAAAGTAGTAATCACAAACCATTAACATTGAATTTATATAGAAAAGCAGGAGAAAAGAAAACAGTTGGTATCAGAATTCAATGATATAATATTTTTATTAAAAATCTTTGATTAACATAATACAATTAATATTTAAGTAATCCTGAATGTAGTCAGTAATAATTTGTAAAACGAATTTCTTCTTCTAATCATTCATGGTCAAACAATCAATGTAGTGGCAGTTTTATAATTGTCATCTGCTGCCCACATTGACGTATCTTTATTTATGAAATCAATGTTAACATGCAATTACTTGAAAAATTGTTTTCTATAAACAGGAATATTTTCTATTCCTACATTTTTACTTCATTCAACTTCTATGAAAATAATTGAAATTTTATTGATATTATCATCCAGCTCATTGTTACAAGTCTGAATCATTACTTTATACCATAGAAATGATTTTAGCATGAAAAAGTATATAAAAAGAATGAGACCTGTCATTTAAATCATTATCTATATCTTAGTTATCAGATATTATTTGATATTCTTTATCCCTTTGAGCAATGAGTTCTTTTACTACCGATTGACAAACCTGAAATGAGTCTTTCCACATAAGTAAATACTTTTTGAAATCAGAATACAAATAATTTTGCTTAAACAATAAATGCTCATCTACTATATTTGCAACTTTGAGTAATATGTAAAAGCAATAGCATGGCCATACGCAAGTTTGATTAACTGCTTTAGTGTAAAATTCAAAATGTAAATATATATTTATATTGCAGCAGGCAGTCTAAGGTAAGACATAAATGTAAATTTATATCACTCAAAGGGTTACAAGAAGTAGGGCTACAAAAGAAGAAGATACAGAGTGAATATTTCCAATCCTAGGAATTATAATAATGTTATTTAAGAAATTATTTAGGAAGTATAATAATATTATTTCAATTATTAAGTTATACGTTCACATTTCATAATAGGAACAATTTTTCATTGTTACTGGTCATTGTGTTAGCCTCATGTTACACTCAAGATAACCCTAAGATAAAAATCGAACACTCTAAACTTTTAATTAAACGAGTTCTACATTACTAAAGGAAATTATGAATATGACCCATGTGTCATATGGTACACTATATTCAATGATAAAACCAAACGTTTTGAATAAATTCTATGACCTTATAATTCCATATTACTCATCATTAATTGATAAATAATACATTTATTAAATAATAACTTTTTCAGTGAAAATTTTACAATAAGGTTAGCTTTGGTATAGGAGCAAAATCAATCAAATATAAAGTCACTTGTGGATCGGTTTTCTGATTGACTTTCACTTTTGCAGGAATTATTGTTTTCTCAAGGATCACGTGAAAAAAATTCGACTATCATAAAATAAGGTCCACCCTAATGGAATCTGTATCTGTACCACGTGCATAGATGGAACACCCTAACACGATACCAGTGTCATGCGCGTAAACTTTAGCTACGCGAATGACAGTACACGATAAGCGGATTATAGATCGCGTCTTATTAAGACGATAAACAGAAGGATGCGTGTATCAAAGGAATTTCAACCTACCTGGGGAAGGCGTCAAAGAACCATGTTCTTTTGGTTTTGGGAAATGCTACTCGCATTCCCGACATCAAAGGTGAATGCAGTACAACTGCACCAACCTCGTATCGTGCGGCCAAATCGACCGTGGGTACAGTTCCGATGCTTTGACCGTATAGAATAATGTTATCCGGATTAATACCGTACCGTGTTCTCAGAGCATGCCACGCAGCGTCTATATCCGCGTAAAGGTTTTTTTCCGACGGTTTTCCACTAGAAACACCGTAACCCGAATAATCGTAGCTGAATACGTTACAATTGATTCTCGAGCCAAGTCCCAAGTAAAAACTAGACATCTGTCCAAGATCGGCAGCGTTTCCGTGAGAAAATAAAATGGTAAAACGTGCGGTAGCCGTGCACCGTACAAACACACAGGCTATTCGGTTTCCTCGTGACGTTCTTGCATAGAAACCTTCCACCGCGTCTTTCTCCCTGTCCGAGAATTGCCACTCTGCCCTGTCAGACAAGGAAATTGTAAACTTGGAGCCTTCATCCTCGACGAACGTGTACGTTGGCTCGGGCGGTAGAAACGCTAATTTTGCAGCGATTCTGGACGGGCAAGGTGGACAGCAAAACAAGCAACACAATTCACTAAAACTTAACCCGTTCATCGTTCGATGTCTCGGCATCGAGATCAGCGCCTCGACTTAAACGTACGTTCCATGCACTATACTTTCGCGCCTACTAATTTTTAATCACAATGTCATTTGTTATTGTACTTCTGCAAGAATCTCTCACGATGATTCAGCCATGACGGCTCGCAAGACGGACAATTTCTCTCCCTCCTTCTTTCTTCTCTTTCTCGCACAATGCCCCCACCCACTAAATGTTACGCACTTTCATTGTATTCAGGTAAAATGAGATATGAAACAAGGATAGAGATTACGGCGCTATCTCACACCGTCCCTCTTGTACTCATTGCTCAGCTATTGGTGAAGAAATTAAAACCAACGAGATGATTCAATATGGAATGAAGAATGGTCGTATATTCATTCGTGGGGACAATAATTCGTGCCGGGATAGGAGAAAGTCACCAGCCCCGGCTACCATTTCTCCTTCATTATCCGTTTCTAGTGGTCACGAGGATGTAACGCTAGATGGAGTTACTACTACCATAAAATAATCATACATCCAGTGATCCAGAAGCAGAGATGGGCAAAACCCTAGGCTTCGAATAAATCTGAAGTTTGCCGATATGTTTGTCTCATTTCCTTCTTTGGAAAATTTTCAAAAGAGGAAAGGAGATAGACATATCAGCAAACTTCAGATTTATTCGAAGCCTAGGGTTTTGCCCATCTCTGTCCAAAAGCTTCACTCAACACTGGCTTCTTTCCATGAAGACTGTATAAGGAGTAGTGATGGGCAAAACCCTAGGCTTCAAATAAATCTGAAGTTTGCCGACATGTTTGTCTCGTTTCCTCTTTTCCGAACATTTTCGAAAGAAAGAAACGAGACAAACACATCGGCAAACTTCAGGTTTATTCGAAGCCTAGGGTTTTGCCCATCTCTGATTGAGCTCTATCCTAACTAGAGTGTGAACAACTGTAGGAAAAAGTAGAGGCGACGGAGGTTCGAGAGAAATGCAAAATGGGTGGTTCCGGTATTATCCTATAGCAAATTTATTTGTAGAGGGGGAATAAACGTACGCTGTAACATAACCTACCTGAGCATCGCTGACCATTGTCGAATGAGTTACTTTCAGATTCTTCTTCGCATAAAATTGGATAAATACAATATAAATTGAATTGTGACAAATAATAAAATTTAGCTCTATACCAAATTGTATATATTTGTATGATCTAAATTATGGTATATAAATTATGGATACTATTTCATTATTATGTCATTATTATTAATGTTTCTATCGTTTTATATACAAATAAAAAGGAAATAAAGTTCAAATCTGTACATAATTAATCTGTAAATAATTCCTAGTTCCGTGAAATTCAAACAAAGAGGAGTCTGTTCTCCCTCCACACATAAATTTGCTATAGGATAGTACCACCGGAACCATTCATCTTGCATCTCTCCCGGACCGGCTTCTCTCTCGCAGTTCACACTCCAGTTAGGATAGAGCTCAATGATCTCTACATATTTGACGATCGTCAAATTCACTTATTACTATGATAACTAACTAAACGTGATCACGACTAACACAGTGTAACGCAGCATGAAGTTACTGAATTACTGAAACACTAACAGCTAGTGACTAACTTCTATGCTGGTTTCATAAAGTTTTAGAGCAAAATAATTTTAAAGTAAGCTTTCAAAGTGTTCCAAAATCCACTTTGGGTTTTTGAATGCTAATTACTTCTGCTTGTAGCAGCCGATCGTATGCTAAGTAGTATTGCCAACATTTTAAACGGCAATAACAAGGGAACGATACATAAGTATGCGCCTTACAATGCGCCTACTTATCTAGTGATTTTTTCGAAAGACAGCTATGAGGTTAGCAATAGACAGCAACTTTCGTGGAAAATCGATTAAATCCAGGTATATAGTGGAAACTCGGCTAGTTCATGTTATTGCGTGATCGTTGCTGTTCGCTATATAGTTTTGGCCGATGGCGGCTGTCAACTGGTGTACTTTAATTTTTCGTCGGACAGATTTTTATAAATCTTCAAATAATATCGAGAATCTTTATACGTAGATAATTATCACATATTCACGTTAAGTTGAATTTTCTATGAGCCTGTGAAATTAACATTTACTTGTATGGCATCCGGCAAAGAAACAATGGGGTAAGTGAACGTGGTGATACTCTGCACCGCCTTTTAAGGGTGTGTAATATATGTACACACGAGGCACACTTTCTACTTCGCATACGAATACTATAAATTATCCTTAATTTTTCTATTATCGAATACCGTCAATTCATATAAAATAGGTCAATTTCATTGCGACGGCTAACTATCTGTACTATCCTTTCCTGTCTATTTATGATCTTATTTCCTACATCATCGCAGATACGCGTTTAGGTGGGTGCGTACGACAGAAGAGTCTGGAGCAGAATGTTTTTCTTTTCTTTTATCTATATATAACCACACAATAGAACAGCGAAAGTGGGATAAATCGGTACCGCGTGAGATGCGTTTATTTTAGTTGTTTACTCGTGCATCATTCGATATATTTTTAGATTTGTATTATAAACAATTTCTTCTGAAAATTGTAAAAATATTCGTCAGTTTCAACTTTTTAAAAACTTTCTCCTTTCAGTGTCATCATTATTGTGTTATTTAAAAATATTTGAACATAACTTTATTGATTTTAATATAGTATAACAATGATGTTCATCTATCTTTAGATCATTGTTAACTGGTATATTATTTATTTTCAGATAGGCTGCATAAGTGGTTTCACATTTTAGTAGAAGAATAAATATATTGCATTTCTATTATAGCTATTTTTCATTTAAAATCAAGAATTTATTGATTGTTAAAGATTTGTGTTACTTTTAAATAGCGTATATAAATTGTACAAGTACTGCACGTATAGTAAATTTAGAAAATTTCAACTAGAGTTACACTTATTTTTCATGATAAATATAAAAGACAACTATTCATTTAAATTTATTTCCTTTGATTTCCTCCAAATCAATACCATTTCAAATTAAACTGTAATAATATTACATCTTGATTCTATTAATTATAAGGCATGTAAGAATATGTACATTTGAGTTTTCTTTTTTAAAGAACTTAAGTTTGTTATGTTTGTGTAGAATATATAGAATAAAGCTGTGCAAAAAAATAAACCTTAGAATATTCATTACTAAAATCCTTCGTTATTAAAGTCATAAATATAATTTGTTTTGAGTATGAGACATAAGTAGATACTGCATGCATTAATTAAATAGATATATTTAAATACCTACCTTGCTTTTAATAAATTACAGTAAACAACCTATTTTCACGTGCAAAGCGCACGTGTTTCATATCGATCCCAAGACAAAAAGGTCTTGGGTATCTGCATCTACAGCAGCAGTATCTGTGTCATTTTTTTATGATTCAACAAGAAGTCTATATAGAATAATTTCTGTTGAAGGAACAAAGGTGATTGAAAATGTGAAATTTTTAAATAAAATATATTCGTGTTACATTTGAAAGTTATTTACATTTATTTATTTTCAGGCAGTAATAAATAGTACTATTACTCCAAACATGACCTTCACGAAAACATCGCAAAAATTTGGCCAGTGGTCAGATGTTAGAGCCAATACCGTATATGGTCTTGGCTTTTCGTCTGAAGAAGAATTAGGAAAGGTTTGTGAAATACGTCTTTAGTTAATGCACAGCCATGTGTATACCACAATCTCAGAGACAATATCATTCATTTGGCAGTTTATTGAGAAGTTTCATGAAGTGAAGGAAGCAACTAAATTAGCTAGTGCTAAATTACAATCGAACAGCTCGTCTGTTACTCCCGCTACTAGTGCAAACGTTAGCCCGATTATATCGCGATCGGGTATGCCATCATCAGAACAAGATCTTATAGATCCACCAAACTCATCAATGATAAATTCCAATGTATCCACATCGAATAACCCAAACCCAAATGCCAACATGATTTCTACTCAAAACAATGTATCTTTGGTAAGCAGCAGTCCCTTACCTGGTAGTTGTCAGAATAAAATGGATGACGAATTGAAAAATGCAGTCCATTCAAGATCACAGAGTGTTTCTCAGCAGAGTACAGAGAGTCCACAACATCAAGGAAAACAATCGCAACTTAGCTCTACACAAAGTGGACAATCGGCTGAGATGCAGCTTAAATATGAGAATGATAGGCTGAAACTTGCATTGGCACAAAGTTCTGCAAATGCTAAGAAATGGGAGGTATGGTTTCATACATATCAAAATACATGTATGATATATACAAGTGTAAATATATAATACTCTTTGTATATCAATAATCAATGTCATTAACGATTTTTTTTTTCTTATGAATTGTTCAAATTTAAATTTGATTGTAGGTCGAATTAACTACTTTGAAAACAAACAATGCAAGATTAACAAGTGCATTACAGGAATCTACAGCTAATGTTGATGAATGGAAAAGGCAATTACAATTGTATAAAGAAGAAAATGCTAGAGTTAAAGTTAAATATGCAGACTTAGAAGCTGGAAAAATTGCAGAAGGCAATAGTGAAGCATTAAGGTTGAGAGTTGAAGCATTAGAAAGTGAACTTAGAACACGAAATGAAGAAATCAAAGCTCTCACTATGGCTACAAAAAATAAAGATTTTGTAGTATGTACATGTTATGCAATTTCATTTTGACATATAGTTGTTTATCAAATAAATGAAATTGAATAAGATTGATATATTAATAACGAAAACTAATAGTCTAGGAATATAAAATGTTTCGAGTATAAAATAAAATAACAACCACTTGTGTTTAAATACTTATTAAATTTGTACTTTTATTTTTTAGGCGCTACAGAAAGAAAATGCGGAACTTCATGAAATGTTAAGGGTTGTCCATGAACAATTAGAACTTGCATTAAGTGCAAATAAAGTCCAAAAACAAAATTTGGATACGTTAAATGCAAGATTAGCTGGATACATACAAGATTTGGTAACTGTACATCGAGAAATTACAAACACACTGCAAACCTAAGAATGTTCTTCTTGGGAGTTTTGTATTTACGATATAAGTGAAGTATACAAATGGACGGTGTAGATTAATACAAAGGGAAAGGTTCCAAAAAAAACATACATAGTAAAAAATTCTTGAAAAAAATAAACTAAGGACATTATCTTCAAACGATAAGGGTAGATTGCGTTTTTCTAAGGTATTTATTCTATGTTAAATTAATGACAATATTTGATATTATTTTTCACAAACGTCTTTCGTGCCATACTTTTATTCGTATTGTACATAAAGATACTTTTTTAATATTGTTTTATATATTGTTTTTATAATTTGTATATTTCTGCATGTACAAAAGAATTTTATATATCGATATAGATACAAAAAATGCTTTTACTTCTGCACAAACAAGAACAAGAATCTCTTTTAGTTATTATGTACCTATTATATTGCATCGTAAGAATAACGGTAAACATTACTATGAGTTATTTAATTACTTTTTAATGTATTATGTTTTTTTATATACTTTATTATAATGAATTTTTGTATATCACTCAAATTAGATCTATAGCTTGTTTTGTCTTATAATTGTGTTTAAACGTCTAACAAATAAATTATAATTATAATTGTACTGCAGTCATCATTACTAATACTATTTCACTGATTACTATTGATCTTTGACTCATCACTAAGCTACAACTCTTACTATACTATTAAAACTATTATTATCATTATTAACGCTATTATAACTACCTCCACTACTACTGCTGCACTACTACTTGCTGTTATTATTACTCGTAGTATCATTGTTAGTGCTACTTCTATAACTGTTACTACTGTTACTGTCGATCAGGTTGTCATTACATGCTTACAAAGAACTTTTATGATATTTAGAAACATAAAACATATCAAAAATGTCACAAGATTTAGTGTGATACATGTCTCTCAATGTTTTTTTGGAACTTAGCCCCTTGGAATCAACAATAAAATTCAGTTACCCATGAACACAAATAAGAAAAATGCACAATTAACATTAGTAACGTTTAGTGATACTCGATTATGTAGTATAACTATTTAATTCAGCTGTACATTGTATCCATATTGTTCTATCGTATATTATTTACCTTTATCAATAGTGTAAGGATATATAAAATTGAAGAGTCTGGCATGAGCTGTACAGTATCGTTGATATCTAACACAAAGTATGGCATGAGAAAATATATAATATAGTTCATTTACAATGGGTAACTTAGCGATTTCAGCTTGAAGGATTATCAAACGTTTAAATATTGTGCAAACAAAAAGGATGTTTTTAATGTGCAACATGTTTTGTTAATTTTTTTATGAAACCATGGTATACATTGATTCATTGTTGAAAAAATAAATTTAATGTTTTCCAATGTAAATAATTTGTTATTCACTTATCACTGACTTTTAAAACATTCTATAGCATTCAAGCCAGATATTCTTCAATATGTTATACTTGAATAGCATAGATTTACTAGACAACAAATCGCCCGAGGATTCTGACCGACCTTCCGAAAGATGTCAAGGTGATATTTCTTGTAACAATAAACCATTTCTAGTAGTAAATGAAGTGCAGAATACTAAAAAGAGCACTTTTTATTGTACTGACAGTATGTATGTATGTACGTAAAAATGTTGCGGAGATGAATTTTAAATTTGAGGAATTGGAAACAAAAGCCTCGCTTGCCACATGTAATCATAATAAAACATTTTCAGATGGCTTTCCTGTCTTCTATTATCAATTATGTTACTACACCTATATTTTAATAAATGACTATTATACGAAATATTACCCTCACTTATAATTATTTTTGTTTATATTTATTTTCAAACATTTTATTAAAGATTACTCTAGTATTTTTTTTTCTATTTTCATTTATTTTTGTTACATAAATTTTGTTTATTTCAACTACTTGTATACAATCACTACTAGTTACTAGTAGTACACTTACTAGTAGGTAACGTCCGAAACGGTGCCGAGGGGTAGCTAAATGTGGTGATTTTCTCCTTATGTGGCATGAATCCAGGTTTTAGTACATTTGATATTATCGAAAAACTGCCGGCGTATTCAAAATGTTATAAACGAGGACTTATATTGCGAAAATATTTCAACGTTATATTCATACATGAACTGTCGTTGACAGTATTGAACGGTGGTTTGCCAAATTTTTTTGACGAATTTCACGAGTTTTTCGTAAACATTGTTATGACGCAGCTTCCATTTTGAAAACCGAAGCTACAAGAAAAGCACGTTAAACTGCTCTTCACATACTCTCTTCGGACCACTTCGGACAAACGCGTCCGTGTTGTGTGTCTTTTTCGGTGCCATCGTATTTGATAAACAATTCTAGTGCGTAACTCCTATTAAAAAAATAAAATGCAGGGAACTATTATAGAAAATTTAAGCGGTAGGAAGCTCTCGGTACTTGTAATGCTACTGATCATCGCACAAATAGTTTGTTTTCTAATAGGCGGGCTGATTGGTAAGTCAAGAAATGATAAGAATTTTGAAAACATGATGCATGAGTTTTATGATTAAACATTTTATAAACTTACACAAAGACGTAAGATTTTGTATAGATAAATAGTAATTTTCGTGTTTATTTTATTTTTAAATTCGCTAGAAAAAATTTTTAAAATTTGTTTACGATTTATAAAAAAGATAAGGTTCACGAACTTGATGTTTTTATTCATCAATAATTGTGACAATCAGAATTCATTAACCTAAATACGTTTTATAGATAGTTCACAGTTTATATATTTTTTTGATCAGCTCCAACACCTGCTAGTAGTCAAAATATACTGGGTACACCTTGCAAAGATATTCGTGTAAATGGATCTGAACCTGGGAGTGGAAAATGGTTTTATTCAAGGGGAAAAGGGTCTTGTAATGTGGTTGATATGAACCGTTTCAATTTTGACAGTCATCATCAGGCATATCAAGTTGTTTATACATTTCAAGTATGTTCATTGCAGGGATTTATACGTTCGAAAGCAAACAAAATAATTGTAAATTTAACTGTCTTTTTATATATTGTAGATGCCTGTTCCTCGTAGCAACATGCAACTAGATTATTCTAGGTGGCAGCAAAATTTAATTGGTGTTTTGCAAGTGGAGATTGTTTATCATAGTCAGATAGAAATTGGTAATTTATTGGTTATTTTGATATGTAAATTATAATTTTTTGTAATTAAATTGACCATGTTAATTCCATAATTCCATAATTACCATAATATACCATTAATAAGTGTAATTACCATAATTCCAAATGTTGTTTTTGACAGCTCCTAGGACAAAAATAACATTGGATGCAAGACTTGGTTATAGAAACAAAGGAGATCCAGATGATGCTTGGAAATTGTATGCTGCCTCTGTAGTAGAAAGAATGTTGGAGTGCAGTATTGATGATGTAAATATGTCATTTATAAGATTAGTTTACGTATTGATAAATATATGTAATTATTATTAACATGTACATCTTACAGGCAATGGAGCAGTATAATTATAACTGCAGTGTAGTGCCATTGTTTGAATTGGGATCCCTATATCATGATTATTATCTTTTAAATATTCGTCTTCCTGCTGATACAGATAAAAACATTAATCAGGGTTTGGGACATATAACTGATTTATGGCTGACAGTAAATATATATTACATTTAAAAAATAATATTTATACATATACAATATTGAAAAATATCACATTAATATTACATTTAAATTTATTTATTTACTTAATGAACGTTTCAACCTTGAATTTGTGTTCTGCTTCAGTACAAAAATGTCAATTATAAATATATAAAAGTATAAAAGTGGATGAAAGATGAAAAAGATCTATATATAAATTTAGTAAGGAGAATTGTTTATTAAATAAATAAAACATGATTGTTTGGACTATCTACACCTAAGCTACAGTAACATTGCATCTTATTTACAATTCAGGCTATCAATCAGAATGGCGGATTTACAAAGGTGTGGGTGAGTTTGAAAACTATTTATTTCCCAATTGTCATATGTGTCCTCACTTGGTACTGGCGGCGAGTACACATGCTTTCAAGATCACCGGCTCTTTTGGAATATTTGCTTTTGGCACTGGGCATAGCTCTAACATTTTTAAATAGTATGTTGCGTATTTTCCATTTGTGTTATGCATTCACCAACTATTCATGCCTAACTATAATTTTGTACTTTTCAGTGCCTTTGGAGTATTTAACACTTGCCTATGATATGCCATTCATGCTTCTATTGGGTGATATTCGACAAGGAGTGTTTTATGCCATTCTTTTGTCTTTCTGGCTTGTATTTGCTGGAGAACATCTTATGGTAAGTATATTAGATATGTATGAAAGTAATAATTTGATAACAAATTTATAATTTAACATACTAATTATATATATTTTTCTTACATGTTATCCCTTACTCAAACAGATACAGGTGAGTTTGTTTTGTTATGATTTTATGAAGGGTTACACCATCTATAGGACAAAACAATTGAAACTTTTGTTTGTAAAATGTTAATTTAAAACTTAAAAGATAATATAAAACAGCTATCATTGAAGAAGTTAGTAATAATATAATACGTTTTGCGTTCCCGCTCCCAAGGTGACCTACATAACCTTTTAGACGTTTATAGTAAAGTATCGTTAAACTACAATTTCTATAACACATTTGTTATTTAGGAAGGTGAACAAAGGAACTCTTTAAAATGCTACTGGCGACATCTGTCTGCAGTAGGTATCGGATGTCTATCATTATTTGTGTTTGACATGTGCGAACGCGGTGTGCAATTAAGAAACCCGTTCTATTCAATTTGGGTTACTGATCTTGGTACTAAATTTGCCGTATCCTTTCAGAAAAGAAAATATTACTTTTATCATGAAAATTTAAATTCCTTGACTTAAAAGAAACAGTTGTCATTTATAATTTTAGCTGGAGTGTCTGCTGGTGTATATTTAATATTTTTGTCCTACATGATATGGAAAGTATTCATGAATATTAGTGCAAAAAGGGCAGTATTACCCAGTATGAGTTCGGCACGACGTTTGCATTATGAAGGTGTGATATATCGATTTAAATTTTTGATGATAGCTACGCTTTTATGCGCATCTTTAACCGTTATTGGATTCATTCTTGGCCAGGTACTCATGTTAGAATATTTTTTACAAATTAAAATTTGATTCTTTTAAGTTTGGTTTAAGATAAGTTAATTTCATCGATTAACTTATTTAAATATATATTCGACATAGGTTGCAGAAGGTCAGTGGAAATGGGATGAAGAATTACATTTAGAAATGACATCAGCATTTTTCACTGGTGTGTATGGAATGTGGAATATTTATATCATAGCATTATTGTGCTTGTATGCACCTTCGCATAAACAATGGCCTATCGAACCATCTGGTAAATATATCAATTTTTTTTATTTGTTTTATGTATATTTAGGTTTGTAATTTAATTTTTACCATTTTGCAGAAAATAGTATTAGCGAAGAAATTGAATTTTCACGTTTATCAACTGATCCCAACGAGATGTTGTCTTTGACAGCATTTGCACGAAAAGCAGCAGTAGAGTAAATAGTATATATATTTTAAAAATAGTAGAAGAATGGCAATCGACCAGTCAACACTTTTGTACTTAAACGTTGAATACGTCAAACTATAAATATGGTTTAATTGAGGTTTTTCGATATTTATAGGATACTCGATGACTGATAATACTCGAATAAGTAATCCTTTTATGCCAAAATCAATTATTTATAAAAAATATTTTTTAAGCTTTATTCACTTTGTAATACATGTTAGTCTCTAATTAGCGATTTTTTTTATTTAAATATTTAACTAGCTGTTAAGTATTTTAAAGATGAAATGAATGAAACAGTCACTTTATCTATCCCTAGATTTTTCAGTACTTTTATTATCATACACGATGTGGTAGAATAACATGTAGTATATTTATTTGATGGAACATTCCATTTTAAATTTAACCGATATTATTGTAGTGAGATTTTTCTATATATGTACTGCAACCAGTGAACAATCATAATATCATTGCCATACTTACAGTACTAATTAATAAGCAATCTCACAAAATCTATTTTCTTTAAGAATAAGTAATCTATTTCGTCGTTTTATACTACATATCAATATTGGGCATTTACCTCTAATTAACATTTATAAACGTGCATTTAATTGTACCCATGTAATATTGATCACGGAAATCAAATACCTTCATTAATTTGGGGTTACTATCACTTGACAAATATTAACGTACATTTGGCAGTATTAAATTCCTCAACGCATTTTTAATATATACATTTCATAAAAATGTTTACCAATTCTGATGAATTATTAACACAATTTTTAGATTTTAGGACATGCATGCTACAAAGTAGAATCGAAGAAAAAAAAAAGGTGCAATAAGTCTATCATTCTAATGGAATCAATTTAGTGCACATTAGCTACTTACATAGAGTACTTATATTTGAAACAGCAGGATTAGCATTTTCTATGCCTGTTAATGCTTTTAAAGAATTGTATGACTGAATATTAATCACGAAGAACGTTTCGTATTATATAATTATTTATCATATTTTCTTAATAATTTTATAAATGTGAGATAACAAAAACGAAATGTATTAACACTGCAAAAAAAATTAATATTTTCATGTGTAGTTGTATTATTGAATTTCATTATGGTATTCAATTTGATCATTTTTCCGTGTGTATTGAACGAAATTTTATACTCACGACTTTTATACATTTTTTAAATAAATCAATTTGTTAGAATAACTTTGTTATGTTATTAAGTATTGCGTATGTATCGACTGCCACAGGCCTGTATATCTAATCACATGTAATGGTCATATATGTATGTGTCGTTATAGTTACGTTTTTTGTTTCAACGTTATTGAACGTCAACGTAAAACATAAAATCGTATGATATCCGACACGCCGAATATTTCAATTTTCTTCAGAACGTCTTTGTAGTTTCTCACAAGAATAACTGCTTTGTAACAAAATTCTTTTTCATAGCCAAATAAGTGCTCGATGTTCATCATAACTTATCTTAACATGTTTTGAGGGGTTAACTCCGAATGTCAAGTTTCTCAAGGTACAAGTTATTGGACTACATACATGTACAACATATGTCGTTTCAAAAAGGTATTTACTTATTGTTTACTGTGATTTTACTTAGTATTCGTATTTCATTATCGGATATATTAACTTAATAACGTAACGTACGTAATTTCAATTTCAATTCATAACGCACATCATATATACGTATTATTTCAGTGTTACCAAAAACTAGTAATTTTGTCGAGTGAATCGCAATATTAACGAAATCGCTTCCAAGTTTGTATAACCAGTTTTTATTTATTTTTCATTCGCATGTTATTAAAGTTACGAGTTATAAATTTTTAACACTTGGATGAACATTACTTAAATTATTTGTAACACATATCTGCATATTGCGCGGCAAGTAATTTTTCGACTTATGAAATGTAACGTTGATTTAACATTTTGCGCAATTATTTTCACGTAATGAAAACAAGCTTAATTTGTTCGCGTAGTTGAAGCCTTGAGCAATGAAATGTAAACTAGTTTCTAGTGTCGTATCTAGCAAATTCGAAGGGGGTCGACTTTGTAACAAATAGAAAGCAACGTACATACCAACTAATTTATATACATACACAAATTTTTGTTCAATATAATCGTCTTTACGTAAACATAAGTTCAATACTAAATAGTGAATTTGGAGAAATTTCGTAAATAATCAGAGATATTTTGTACAAGAATTTCATTTATTTTAATAAATATAATTTTGCAAATTTAAGTTGACGTGCCAAGGAAAAGTATAAACTCGTAAATGATTGTAAAAACAATATGTCAACATAAATTTATTGATCGTTGTTTTGGGCTGTGTTCAAGTTTTTTTTGGAGGCAATATTTCAAATTTTAACATAAATGAATAAACACATAATAGATTTCAACAAAGAACAATGACAATGAAAATCTAATATCAATCGTAATTATTTAGAGATAATATATAAAATAATAATGAAATTTTACTATTAGAGATGAAACGTTGTGGATTAGTATTTTATATGCTTAAAAATTTATAGTGAGAAACGAAAAAATTACATTTATATATATACTATGTCCCCTTGACGTGAACACATATGTACAAAGTACATTTTGTCTCCACAAAAACATCGTCTTACAAATTTCGTCTGTTCTTCTTTTCAAATAATTCAAAATAACGTATTAACTTCCCTCTGAAAGGGTCCTCTACAAATGCTAACATACGGGCCTCAAAATTGCTGGTTACGCCACTGCTAGTAAACACGTATATATATACGTCTTTCCAAATTCAAACGTCTATTCTATTTCCAAGTACCCATGTGTGTTTGCTGATCATTTGAATTGGTTGTTGAACAAAAAACAAAGAAGAGTCTAGTGATATCTTGGAATGAAAAAAATATATTCTAGTGATATCGGTAGAAGGAAAGAATTAGTGGTGATATCACAGAGAGTAGCAGGGATTTCTATAACGTGCGCGCGCATCTGCTGGCACGGCGTAAGACAGAGGCAGCAGCAGCGAGGAAGAGAGCAGTGCAGAAACGGAATCAGATGTGGTGAAGTCCGTGAGTTGACAGGTCGTGGGTGCACGAGAGAGAACAGGCGTTTCGAAGTGGCGGAGGCGGAGAGGAGGCTCCAGGGGAAAGGATTGTTTTCTAGTGTGCGCGAGAAACGGTGTCGACGGGTTACGAGTCTCTGGGACGGGTTCGTCGTTGTTGACGACGAAATGATCCTCTAGCACCGAAGATTTTTGGCCTGGTCCGTACGGACAAAGAGGAAGACCGTTCGTGTATTGCTGGTGTCGAGGGATCGTGGGCTCGTTCATCCGTAGAAAACATCGTTAGACGCTGACGTTGCGGAATTCGTCTCTCGTGTGTCGTTTTCCTTCGGTGGCCGAGCGTCGAAGATCCCAAACGACTGACTAGCCGAGCGTCGCGCGCGCGTGTGTCTTTGTTTTTTTTTTTACATTCTCGAGTGCCGAACAACTGCTCACCTACGGGAAAACAGTGTATTGTACCAACAGTGGTGAAAGACTTAAAAAGTTCCCCGTGTATTCGACGGTGGTAAACAAATCCATAGGAGCCAGAGGCCCTTCCCTGAAACGACGAACGGAACTCTCAGCTGATTCAAGGACTTGCTGCGAAGGGCTCTGCTGGCGTTTAATAGACGATAAATATGTCGTCCCCCAGCGCTGGAAAACGACGTATGGACACGGACGTTCTTAAATTGTATCCTTGAAATTCACTTTTATTTCTCCTACTCGCTATTTGTGTCTCTCGTCTTCTTTTTTTTCTCTGTTTCCCCTCCCTCCTCCCTCCTCCCTCCTCCCTCCTCCGCTCCTTTCCTTGACATCGCCAGAGTCCCCCACCCTTCGCTTTACCACCCCTCCCACTCCAACGCTCGTTCTCGCTCTTTCTTTATCTTTCGCTCTATCGCACGTGCTTGCAATCGAGTGCAAGAGAGGTCTGCACATGGTTGCGAACGCAACAAGATTTTACGTACCAGTGGCGTATTACCCTACAACCGAACAAGACATGTAGGGCCCTGATCATATAATGGGCATTCCCGAAACTAACTGATTCGAAACTCGTCGTCATTCGCGTACGATACACGAAGAATAAGTGTCTTTAAAATTTCTCGAAGACTTAGACAAATTTGAAATTTTTACGGGAGTGTAGTTCAAGTGATGCTAAAAACAGAATTATTATTTTTCGTCAGTAAAAGGATTCCAGGAATGAATACATCTCCATAAAGAAATTGTGAATGTTTTCGAAATCATAAAAGGTCTCGAGAAAACTCTACTTAGAAGTTTGTTCATTTTTTAGATCCTACAATACGGTGAATTAGAAATTTTGAAAACAAATTTTTTTGGAGAACTCTACCATATTGTAAGATATCAAAGACCCGTACAAATTTGAGTTAATTTCTTTAGGGAAATTGACACATATGCGTACGTTTGCTTTTCTGTCAAAGTTAACATTATTTACGGCCACAATACCTTTTACAATGAAAACGATATACAATATTAAAGTGAGATATCATATTTGTATGACAAAATCGATTTACAGATTAAAATTGCTTTGGTTTGTGTGTGTTTAATTAAAGCAGAAGAAATTCTATTTAAAATTCGTCCCTCAAGAGGTTAAACTTTTTTTCTATCGTTTACAGTTTTAAAGGTATTCGTGATAATATGAAAAAGTGACAGTTTCTGTGAGGGATAAAGTGTTCACTCTAACAACTGTTTCATTTCCGAAATAAGAATTAGTAACGTTATTATCATGACTTTTTAACTACATTTCTGCAGTTTCAAATTTTTCTGAATTTTCGAGTTGCCGAACTTTCCTTGTCAATTAACATAAACAAATTTTAATGATTAAGACAAGGAATATTAAATAATTTATGAAAATGCTATGAGATTGATATAACAAATAAAATTGATTATAATGACTAGACTGCGGAAGTTTATGCACGATAAATATGTAACATGCATATGCAAAATATGCACGAAAAATTGGAATAAGATGTAGTATAATAAGTAATATATTAGTATGTTACAGAATATTCACTATGTACACATATACAAAATACTTTTCACAATTATTCTGGTATATTATGATTCGTGTGACAATAAATTACGAGCATTTTTCCAAATTTAATGGTGTTAGTCGGTGGTGTGTGCCTGTCAAAATTAATTTATACGCGGAGAACGATCGCTCTATGTCACACGAAGTAATCGATGCGTATTTAAATTTAGAACAACATTGTTCCGGCACACTTATTGGCCCTTTAACGGCCTCATTATTTAAAATATTAGAAAGTTTTCGATACTGTAGAAAATCCTACATCCTTTTCTAAAGTTTTTTTACATTTTTTTCACCAAGATTTTATTGATTCACTTAACGTAAAAAACCTATAGTTACCAGTTTCCGTATTATGCAAACATATATACAAAATGTGCAATATATGGAAAATATGCAAAATATGCAAAATAAAAAATGTATTTTTATAGTACTCCAATTTCAAAACAAATTTCTGTCTAGGTCCCAATCTTTTATTGATTTCTTATAAAAATATGCATTCGCATAAACTTCCGCAGTCTAATAATGACCCAACACTCAGTTTCTCAGATCGATTGAAGTAATAAAAGTGTTTGTTAGGTTATGTTTACAAACATGTATATTATTTCTAAACTGTTACTCCGAGTTTAATATTTTTCGTGCGTTATACGATTTTTTTGTTTGTTTGTTTAGTATCTCGATAAAATGACATCGAATTTAGAAATGGTTATCTCCCATCTGTTTTTTTACGAAATATGTATAGTGTTTTATGTCCCATTGAGGTATAATGCGTCACTGATTAACGTAGCTCATTTATGCGAGTCATGTACGACGGAATCGGTTGTTTGTAACTGATACGATTGGTTGATAGGTCGACGAAGAACAACGGGTGTTTGGCGACGACGAGGGATATTTAATTCCTCGTTTCGTCGATGACGGGACACACAGCTGTTTTTAACCAGCTGACTCCACGTCTGCTCGTTTAGTACGCAGCTTTATCTTGTTTCAATAAAGCACGGTTCGCGCAGGTTCTCGAGGTTGGCTTTACTTTTTTAGTTTTAGTTTTCTTTCTAGACGTGCTGACAGTTTCCGACTATGGTCCTCGAATAATGTTCACAGTCAGAATACACTTTGAATTTATATGTACATTTCTGACGGAGCGTAAATATTTAAAGTCGCGCGTCAAAGGACCGGGCATACATGCATAAGTTTGAAACGTAGCGCGACGAACGGTGATTGAGTCGTTACTGGCGCGTATTCCACTAGGGCTGGGACTATTCCAAAACATTTTATAGTTATGGGAGTATGTATAGGTTTATTCCAACGGAACTTTTAATCGATTGGCGTAAACTATACGGTGGGTGTAAAAAGTATTCGTACACCGATCAATTTCCCAAAAAACTGTGTAAAATTGTAATTTATTAACTTATGTTTTATAAACAATGACATTCTACATATTCTCTAGAATAGATAGAGTACAACAAAATAGCTATTTACGTAAGTTGCGCAATTAACGAGAAAAAAAAACAATTAATCGATAGAAATATTGAAGCAATAAGTATTCGAACTGTTTAATTTTGAAAATTTCATTAAAAAAAAAAAAAGAAATTTACATCAATTTATAGGTATATAATACTTCCTTCGTGGAATTTCCTTTTGATTTTATCATTATTGCAACTCTTTTAAGCGTTAAATTAACTAAATTATTAGTTATTTGAAGTGGTATCTTCTTCAATTTTTAAATCTTTTTAATACTTTTTCATTTTCAAAAGTACTTTCTTGGAAATTCGATGTTTTCTAATTCGTACGGAGCAATAAACTAATGTGTTCATGTTATAAGCTCTACTGTAAATGGTTCGTCATAAGAATCGTACAAATAGTTATTGCTTCTATACTTTTACCCACTTTTCGCATTTTGTTGTTAATTTCACAAATTATATTAACTAGTAAATGTTGTTTGGACTATATCTATCTTAGAGATTTCCGAGAATATGTAAAATATCATTGATTATAAAAGAAGAAGGTAAAAAACTACAATTTCCTCAAAATTTTTTGGGAAATTGATCGGTGTAGGAATACATTCTACACCCACTGTATTCTTCTAAACTATTTCTTATATTGATATTTTAAATTCTATTTATACTTGTTGTACAAATATTTAATTTTACTTACATTTTCACTATATCCATTTTTTAATCCTTACATTTCTCTATATAATTCCAAGCAGATATTTTAAGTTAAATCGTTTATAAAATACAGTGTTACTGAAGTGATTATAAGTGATTGTATTTGAAAGGGTTAGCATGATTATTGGCTAATTATTGCCATTTGGTATTATAACAAAATTTATTTCTAAAGTAAATTAGTTCAATTTTCGAATGTAATTGAAATGGTATTCGAATAGTATTTGAAGAATTCAATATTCAAATAATATTGAAACAGTTGAGTATGTATTCTATTGGTATTCGAATGTTTGAATATTCGAAAGGGATTCGAGTAATTTAATACTTGAATAGCATTCAAATATTTCAAATAGCATTCAGATAGTTCAATAATCAAATGAGATTCAAATTGTTCAATATTTTAATGGTATTCTAATGGTATCCGAATGGGACGTGAATAATAACAAATATTAGGTTGTCCCGAAAGCTTCTTTCGCGAGTTGCACTCAATTATTTTATGTGGTCGTGTTTATATAAATAGACAATCTAATTTCATAGATATTCATGTTGTAACAGTAATGGAGCCAAATGAATCGTGCACGATTCAATAATGTAACATAAAACATCAAATATTGTGCATGTATTACTTATTAATAAAGCGAAAGAAACTTTTCGGACAACCTATTACTTTTAGTTCAAGTATCGATACCAATAGAACATTTTGAGAATGACGCAAAGCGAGAAACGTTTTCACGAATGAATGTAAAGATATATTTTGCGAGAACAAGGTAGCCCGTATCGACAGCGATGTAGGCGCTGTGCAATCGATATTCTTTTCGTGAAAAACATCATTATCTCCGATAAATCACATGACTCTAGCGACTAAGAATTTCCGGTTTCCTTTGTGTATGACGACCATTCCAGTCAAGTGCAAAGAAGGAAGCAAATATTTTTGTTCACGAACAACAAATAAAAGCTCCCAGTGCTATTTTGGTTTTCTTAATTGTTGTATAAACAAATTTATAATTATCAAGATAAAATAATATCGCGAAAGCGAGTTCTTCGTCCTTGATTTATTGCTTTTTTGTACATTTTGAACGTTACGTGACAACGATAACGTGACGATTGATAAAAGAATGTCTATCCACAGTAGATATAAAATGTATAACAAATTTGAAATGAAAGTTGATATCATTTTGTTTAGAAATCAATTTTAATAAAACAAACAAGTCGTGTATCTACTTCGTCATTAGAGTAGATTATATGTAAACAAAAACTACTCGTAGGCATTATAAATATACGAATGAAATATAGATGGGGATTGCTTGTGCAAACATAATAATTTTCCTATTATATTGAGAATTAGGAAATCACGGAAAACATAATAACTTTAATTTAAAATTTAGATATTCAACGTATTAATACTCGGTAAGATGTCCTTTTTATTTTAAGAATTTTGTTCTCTTGAAAACAAGTGATTATAAATGTTACATAATATTTATATCTGGA